CAACCGGGCTCTCCAACTGATGGCCTGCAAACTGCATGCAGCCTGTGAGGGGCCAGCCTACAGCCCACAAGCCCTTGCAGCCATCTCATACTGTCCCTGCTGCAGGGGAGCGTGTTTGTATCCAGGTAGGGACAGCCCCTGGCCACAGGGAAGTTGAACAGCTCTGGTCTAGGGGACAGAGCTCAAACAACAAATAATGACTGGAACTGCTCAGATCTGGACACTGCGCTGCTCTGCGGAGAAGCCAGGACTCCAGTTCCCTGGGTCATCAAGACAGCACCTTGCAAAATCTAGAGAAGTATAATTTGAACACATAGGGAGACAAGCGTGTTCTCTCACCTGCCTTCCCAGCACCCCAAGCACAACTGTGATGAGCTCTTCTGACCAAGACATCTCCAGCAGCTGGCTGTAAGAGAGAAAATAAGAGGCAGGGAACACTGTGGATGTCATGAGGAATGCATCAGCACTGGCTTCCAGCACCTGCCCACATTGTCTGATACAATAGATGGCCTTTGTACATATCCATGGGAGTCAACTGTGCAAACCCAGGCTTGCGTGCGTCCTTGTTGTGAATGAGACATGCCAGTTTGAGGCAACTGGCAATCCAAGTCAGTGCCGTACAAGGGGATACCAGAGAAAGTGCAAATCTGCTGCCTTTTGCAGGCACTCACCTTAGCACCAGCCTCATGTACTCTGGCTCTAGGCAGTCCTCTATCACCTCACACAGGAGCTTCATCCGCTCAGAGCCTGCCAGGGCAAAAGGAAAGAAGTGGGTTGTGTGTGCCCATAACCATTGCCTCCACCCATGAGAATGGGTCACATTCAAAGGGCTCACATAAGAGCTGGTTGTCTCTTGCACAAGAGGTGCCGTGCCTAGGGCCACAGTCAGCCCTGGGAGTGGATCCACTCAAGTGGATGGAGTTGGGTCCTCTTACGCCAAGTTGAAGGTTGACCCTTGGAGCCCAGCTTCACCCTTTATACTGTGAAGAGGAACTCTATCTACAGCATTTGCCTGTTGGTAACTAGTCCTTGGATGCCCACCTACCCAAGTGATACTAGTACAGAGGCTTAACTCAGTGCAGTTCCTGGACACTTCCAGCCGGTGGATTTCCACCTGCGCTTCCCATGAGCACTAACATTTTGAGCTGGGGGGGACTCCCTCCCTCGTTTGGCTTAGATCAGGAATTCTCAAGCGTTTACACACTGCAATCCTTTGTTCCAACCATTCACAAACAGACCTTAGTCACCCCCAGAATACACTGCGCTCAGTCTAAGGACAGTTCAAAGGAAGTTCCATGAGAGGAATAACTGGGATATCTGGACACAAGGGATCCCAGAAAATCAGCATATTGGTTTCATGTCATGCACTGGTTTCAGAGCAAATAGGAACAGTCTATGAACTCCCAACCCCAAAGCAAGTGCTGGCAACCCAGAGACAGGACCCAGGTCAGGATAACAGTCCCAAGCATGTAGGATGCATAGCATGCGAGTCCAGTCACAAAGCAGACCTCTGCTCTACAGGACGACGTGGTTCCAAGCTCACCTTCCCCTGGAGCCTGCAGGACTGGAGCAATCAAGGCGCAGCAGAAAGGCCGAGGATATTTGGAGCAGAATGAAGTCAGGGCAGCCATGAGATGGCGTGAGGCGGGCTGGGCGAGCGAAAGAACCTAGGAGGTAGAGAAGACGGACAACCTTTGTGCTGCTTGCAGGTCTTTTGCTAGGCTCTATCCCAGCTCTGGGGCTGTCAGCAGAGCCCTGCTTCAAAGGCAGAGCTATGATGGGGATGTTTGAATAAGCCATGCAGTCGGGTGGTAGAAGAAAAACTGGCTGCATTTCCTGCATCGTTTTGCAGTGCTCTTCAAAGTCAGAGGAGCAAAAAGGGGTAAAGGCCCAGTCAGGCTGAAGTCCCTTTGTCTGGGTATCAATATTACCTCTGAAGGTGCCCGTCCAACAGCCCTGCACCCTCTCTGGGCACAATATCCAGTATCAGCTCCTTCCACAAGACACATATTACACAGGAGAAGCTCCTTGATAATGCCAACTACACAGGCCTTCCTTCCCCTCAGCGCTCCCCATGAGGGCCAGCAGTACGTACCCGCTGGAGGAAGAGCTGCCTTGTCAGTACTGCTGCATTGGTGTAACTGAGCACAGGCGTGAGAGCCAGCAGCCAGGTGCAGAAGCGCATGAGGACAGGCTCTGGGCACTGTGAGAGCTGAAGCAATGAGCAAAGTCCTTCCAGCTGCAAGGAGAAGGACACACATTACAAGGGGACAATGGCATATGTCACAAGCACTGGGAAGAGAGGAACAGAACAAGCAGCTGGGTTTGGAGGGCTGCTTTTAATATGGCAAGACCCTGCTGAGGTGTCTCCACTGTTTACTCACCTGGCAGGGGCTGCATTCATTCAGGATCTGCAGGGCAGGCAGGGCAGCCCTCTCAGATTGCTGCCGGGAAACAGGAGATCAAACAGGCATTTAGAACAACAGGTTCTTACCCCTCCTTTTCAGACTGCTTCAAAGGAAACTAACAGACACAAATCAGAAAAAAGCTCCCCAAGATGGGCCAGAGACAATGTATGAGAGTGGCCCTTGCAGAAACATTAGCCCTGCAGCAGTCACAAAGGGAGCCAGTTCCCAGATTTCACGAGTTCATCTGGCCAAGCTGCTCCTGCCCCATGAATGCACCATGAGGCATTAGGGTGAGAACCCAGAATTGGGCGTAAGCGCTCCCAGACTCTGTTCCCACCC